TTAAAAGAAATTGGGGATCTTAAGTATTTTTTTGGTGTTGATAAGACTGGCCTCCATTGTTACGCTGCAGTGTAATATGCCTTCTTACCCACAAGATCCCATTCTCCATTGGGTATGTAAGTGGAGGTATCAACATCAAGATTCTGGAGGTCCAGAAGCCAGCCATTGTGAGTCCATGAGCCAAACTTTAAGTCACACTTCTGTACGTCAAAAGGGAACCAACGCACATCGATGTAACAGGTGCTCTTCAGGATGCCGGGGGGGATGTACTGGCAGTGACCTGAAGCGTTCACCAGGACATTGGTGTGAAATGTGGCATCAAAGCGCTCATCAGCACTGCAAAGAGTACAACAGGAATATGAATAGAATGATCTTTAATTTAATGCTAATGGTAAACTTAAAATTAGACATGCTGAACATCCTCTAATTGATTTCTGCATTGATTTTGTTAAGCTTTAGTGATACAATATATATATATATATATATATATATAAATAAAACTAAAAAATTACTCACTAACTAAACTATATGTTCTTCATAGCTAGTTAAAAAATATTCAATACCTAAAAAAGACTTCAAATGATTTCACATCTCTGTCACAAGGTAAAAAATGTTATATTATTGGCATATCTTAAAATTATGAGTTAAAACAATTTTTTTTATTGGTTTATCTAATGCTTGTAAAAAATAAAGATAGTAAAATTTTATTTGTATAGCTATTTCACAGATAAAACCCTAAAGTGCTTCACAAAAGGGGTAATTAAAAAATATTAAAACACATGTTAACATAAATCCTGTCAGAAAAAAAAAAATGTTTTTAGCTGCCTTTTTGAAGTAATCAATAGAGTCAACAGGATGTAGAATCCCTTACAATTTTTAACTGGCTCTGAACAGCACAGCTCCAGTGGAGGAGGGGAGATTAGCCAAGATCAAAGATGTCTTAGGGGCCCTGACCATGCATGTCCAAAAAAATCAAAGTATTTCTAAAATTAGCTTTGAAGAACTAAAGTGAAGCCAAGACAGGATTAATATTTGACCCCTGTTTATCTCTGTTAAAAGTCTGCATAATCTAAATGCAAAGCACAGCATATTTGTTAAAACAGATTAAAAGTCCATTACAATGATTCACATGTCATATCTAATAAAGCATTTAAAATAATTTCCAGCTTAAACTTAGACACCATACATCTTCAATGATAAAAAAAATTAGGCTAAGTACATTTAATGAGGATCATAAGCAGGCAGTCAGTCAGAAAAGTGAGTCAAGGCTATTGGTTTTCATTAAAAACTAAATAATAGATTTATTTATCACTATCAATATTTCACTACAGTTTGTAGCTTTTCAAATTCAAACTCCTTGTTGGATACAAACAATACAGTGAGAAAAATAATGATTTGAACACCCTACTATTTTACAAGTTCTCCCACTAAGAAACATTGAGGGGACTGAAATTGTCATTACAGGTGCATTTCCACTAAAAAAAACAAACAAAAAAAAAAAAAAAAATCACAATATATGATTTTCTTTACTATTTATTTTTATGATACAGCTGCAAATAAATATTTGATCACCCATCTATCGGCTAGAAATGTTACCCTCAATGGCCTGTTAGTCTGCCTTCAAAATATTAATGTGATCACTGGCCAGGATAAGACCAAAGTAAATGTTGTCATCTTCAAACTTTGGGAGTTTTACAGATGATAAGCAGTCGTTTGTGTAAAGAGAGAGGAGGAGTGTGAAAGGAAAAATTGCTGTTTTTTGGGGAGAAAAGATATGCCTCCCGTATCACCGGCCCGGTCAGGTCAGGTCAGGTCAGGAAGCTGGTGATCTACTGACAGGTGGAGGCTGGCACTGTGAGCTGGGTGAGCTTCAGTTTCTGGAAGGAATGTTTGGGTGGGCGGTGTTGAAGACTGAGCTGAAGCCAACAAACAGAATGCTGGTGTTTGTTCTTGGATGGTTGTTCCTCCTGACCTGCGGCACTTTCATATGCTAATAAACTATTAAAATGTCTCGTTGTTCTGGTTGAATTCTGGGTCTTCCCTTTTCTGCTCATTACATTAACACATGCTGTTTAAAGGGTTGATTGAAGCTTTTTAAAAATGATTTTCCTATATTTACACAAGTCATAATGTCCTGTGTGTATAAACCAAAAAAAAAAATACTTCTCAAGCATGGCACTAACATGATCACTCTGCACTATGGTGATATTGGAATTAATAAGAAATAGGATAAACCGCACTCTCTTACTCAAGCATTGCTTCACTATATTTAGATGAAAAAAACAAGTAGAAGGGGGCTGTTTTAGATATAAATAAAGAATGTCTTAGAAGAGCAACATAAAGGAGATTAATATCTAGATTAGGGATAGCATAGACAATCCAAGGTTAATAGAAATTATAATACTAACCTAAATGTAGACAAAAATACAAATGCATCTTTGTTCCACACCTCAGAGTAGGATCAGTCCTCAGAAGGTGTGGAGACAGGAAAGTAGGGAATGTAATTTATAAAAAGAAATTTGAGATTGGATTGGAGAAGTTATTCATTGAACTGGATTTCTACATAATTTCTATTTCTATTTTAAATTTAAATAGCAAAAATGTAGGTCCAACTTGCATACTTTGATGTTACATGGGAAAAACCTTTTTGTGATTGAGATGTTTTTCAAACTTCAATTTCTGAAATGTGTTCTTTGCTTGCATTACAAAATAAAAATAAAATAAATATAGCACCATATAAATGCACCTAAGCAGAGTAAATCCTAAAATTAGTTCTGCCATAAGACAGAATGTATACCTTGGATATGAGCATGATGTTATTTTTTGCAATGTACACATCACAGGTATTAGAAATGCTAATGAACAAGTGATATCCCTGAGAGAGTGAGGAGCCTAAACCCCACACAGACACTCATACTGGAGAGAGAGCACTGTGAAATCCTCAGAGTAGAGCCAGAGGGAACCAGACGCTGACCAACAGCGACAATGGTAGCAGTGATGCTTTCCTGCACTGTGGGACATGAGTCACCACTCATTCAGCACCTTCTGCTACGCTGCTATTCTAACGCACATCACCGTGCACACACACACACTTCTTGATTCCATGTTTTATAAGGACTTCTCATTGGCTTCCATTCGTTTGTATGAAATCATTCAGACCCTTACCCTAACCATTACCAACATATACCTAACCCAAACAAAATTCACACTTTAGACCTAAACAAAATTTGGCCTTACACTGTCCCCATAAGGTAACAAAAACAAAGAAATGAAAGCATGTCATGCCTCAAAATCTTTATAGTGACTTTGCATTCACTTCCATTTGTCTTCAAAAACTTATTTTTCATTATTTAAAAATCTTTCTTATTTTGTGAAATTTAAAAGGAGGAAGTGTTAACAAGGAGGCTTGATCTTTTCTCTGAGGCTATTTGCTATTCATAGCTGAGAGCACCTTAAGGTCACTGCCTTCAGCTCAAGGTCCAGTGAGATGTTGTCAGAACCATCCATCCATGCTTGCTATGTCATAACGCCTAAAATAAAGTGCCCCCAGAGAAAACCTCTTTGAGACATTACAGTATGTTTGACGGCTTTAGGCTGATAAAGTTCAGGAGGTACAAGAGAAAACTGGATGATCTGTGAGCAAACTATTTCCAAGTACAGTGTGATAATCACATCCCTGCAAAAGCATATCTATATGTATTTGTATCTATAAGTTGAATGAATTACTTCTATCTTAATATCTTTAAGAAAGAACAGTATGTGTAAAAGTACATGCCCCTCCTTTTAATTGAAATCTTAATTAGAAAAGCTTATGCTATGATAAACAGATAAGCAGGAATTTGTGTAGGTACTGCAACATCTTGTGTTTTCTGCAATATCTAGATCAGTCCATTCCTGTATATATAATGACGAAAAGGTTCAGGCATGACATTCAAACCCAGGTCTCTTCCTGCAAGGCAACAGCGTTAACAATTGCTGCAGCTGCAAACCAATGCAAAAGCATTTAAAAACAATTATCTAAAAATATGTGTAACCTATGTCAAACTTAGTTGTACCTTTGTGTCACCTGCAAGGAGAGATAATGTATGCTCTATCCAAGCTTGGCGTCCTCCATATGCCTTATTGATCCTCAGTCAAGTGAAACTGCTGACCACTGACATTGAAAAAGGACATCAACAGCTTGCATGGCTGTTTAGGGAAGCATATAATTTGTATGCTAGCATTTACTCTCAATAAACATGGAAACGTTATGCAAGTTCATACTCCCGGTAAACGAGGACCCAATGTGAAGTTCAGAGTTAGATATTTCAAAAATAGTTTAAAGATCAACCAGTAAAACCCTGAAGGACCTGTTTTTAATAATGCCATCCTGGATGTCAGGATACATGCTGTTCAAATTCAAATCCATAGACCATAGATGCTTCTCTCAGGCAGGAATAAGAAACAACAATCTTCCATCCTCCTTATCAAACAGAGTCACTCTGATAGGCATCAGATCAACAGCAATTACTGAACTGGAACATACGGTTTGCTAATCATACAGCAGAAAAGATGCAAACATTTGATTAGTGGCATAATTCCCCCTGGCAGTATATGCATAGACCCATAGTAATTAGTAATATAATTTATCAGGGTAGTAAGCATGGACTCAGAGTGAATAGTAAATGTATGACTCACCATATAGACCTCTTTTGCATGAATCACTGTGAGACAGTGTCTGCCAATGACTAACTAAGCCTTTATGCCAAAATAAAATTAACTAAAATGAACAAAAAAGTGTTTTTTTAGTCTGATGAAGTTTCTCAGTCATCCAGGTCATAGTCATTCCGTAAAAATTCAAAAAATATCCACTGGACTTGGTTTCCAAGATTTGAAGACGTTTCGCCACCTCTCCAAGAAGCTTTCTCAATTCAAATGTCTGGATCTGCAGTGAGTTTGAGTCTTATATAGACACAGCCTTGTATCGCTTGGAAACATGCAAATGGTAACCGATGAATGGGTCGTTTGGTTCCATCATTTTTTTAGTCACATGCTTCTTTTGATTAAAACTAAAACCCCAAATTCTTTATAATAACAATAAAAAAAACTGTCCATGTTTACTGAGGAAAATGCGTGGGGCTTGTCTAATTTTATACTTCAGAAATATAGTCCGATGTAAAGTATGTTAAAATAAAAAAAAAGTGTATGAAGAAAGCACTCAAGAACTCACTTTAAGTTTATTAACTATGGGGGACAAAAGATTCTTATCTACCATGAAAGGAAATAGCTTAAATACTCATGTGAGTCTGTACTCTCATCAGGTAAAAACATCAGCAACTGCTGTAGACAAACCTATT